TCGGTGGCGCCCCGAGAGGACTCGTGGACCCTGTTCAAGCCCCCCCCCGTCTTTCCAGTGGACAACAGCAGCGCCAAGATTGTCCCCAAGATCAGTTATGCAAGCAAAGTCAAGGAGAACCTCAACAAGGAGAGCCAGGCTCCCCCGCTGCCCGCCCGGCTGTCTCATGTCCCCATGTCCGCTGTGAAGACCGGCGCCTCGGCGGCCTTTGCGAACGGGCCCGTCTCCGCGGAGGCGGCCTGCTGCTCGCCGGCCGGGCCCCTCCTCGGCGCTGCTTGTCCCGAGACGCCCGCCCCCGCGGTGCCGGCGGGCGAGAATGTAGCCTCGTCGCCCGACAGCAGCGGCGGCAGCGGGGAGCCCAGGAAACCCGGCCTCTTCGTGTACCCTTTGACCCCTGCGCATATGCAAGCCGCGCTGCCCAGCGCCCGCCCGGTGGATGTACCCTCGCAGCAGAAGGCCCTGGGGGACATCTTCCAGAACCAGTGGGGGCTGTCCTTCATCAACGAGCCCAGCGCGGGGCCCGAGGGGGCGCCGGGGCGGCCCGCGGTGGGGGGCGGGGGGGCGGCCGAGGTGACGTTCCAGGGGCAGTGCGCCGCTCGGGGCGCCGAGGCCCCAGGGCTGGACCGCCCGACCCTCCCAAAGGCTTCTGACCTCGACAAACGGACTAGCCCCCATTCCCTCGCCAGTGTTTTCAAAACGTGCCCCCCCGCCCCTGCCGCCGAGGGGGGGGCGCCACTTCAGCCTCTCGTGCCGGACCCCCAGAAGGGCGAGGCGGGGAGCCCAGGTGCAATAGAGTTCGCTTCTGCTAAGGACCTTGGTGCCGAATCGCCTCAGGCCTCCCCAGCCAATCCTGTGTTGACTGCGGCCAAAGAACAGGGCCAGACGAAAGCCTGTGACAGGAGTAGTAGCTGGGGCTCATTTGATCTAAAAGCTGCTGTAATTTATCACACTAAAGGTAATGCATCTCGGGCTTGAGGGCAGTGCGATGTCCTTTTCCACCGGGCAGCGTGTGTGGTTTTTAAGGAGGCCTGCCTGGGCGCTGTCGTCCCTTTTCCGGTCTGTAGAGCTGTGCCTCTCGCGGAGTTGAGAAATGAGCCCAGGATGGCTGGGGATCGGGAGTGTTTGGAAATCGGAGCTGCGCAGCTCTCTGGAAAGGCCGATGATTCCAGGGAAGTACCTGGCAGTGAGCGGTCTGCCAGCGTCTCCCTGGTGAAGGGGTCGGAGAGCCAGCCCTGGGTTCACGCGTGTGCAGTCTAGACGCCAGCTCTCCCTGGAGCAGGCCTGGCTGACGCTGCTGAACCTCAGAGGGTGGATAAGCGCTGAGAGTTGTTTTTTTGGGTGGTGGGGGTTACTTGTTTTTAACTGAGGTGTGAGAAGAAAAATGTGCATCTCATGTACTGATCTGTTTTCTCTTTGTTTTTTTTCCTATTTCCTATTTTCCTAACGCTATTCTGTTATGTTCTTTCTCTCCTGTTGCATCAGTACAGTGTTTATTTTTAAAGAGTTTTTTTCAATTCTGTAGGCCTGAAACCTAATGAAATCTGTGCTGAGACGTGTAGAAAAGACTAAAACCACTGCACTAGTATTGATCTGCCAGAAGAAAACATTTTAAGGATTAGTGGCTATCTCGTATATGCGATGCATGCATGTGTTCAAGTTTGCATGTATTTTTAATGTGAATCTTTCTTTTATTTTGCAGAAATGGAATATATTTTGACTTTGCAGAAACAAGGTGAGCACTGTGAAGTGTGAGGGGTTTTGGTTGGGCTCTTTTTGGTGAACCATGCTCAGGTTACAGAACAGCAGTGCGGAATGTGGCTGGAGATTCCTGGGTAGTCAGTCAGTCTTCGGGATCAGTCATTAGTAGAAACAAGTTAACAGACCGGTCCCCTCAATCTTGGAGGAGTTTTAGTCCCTGATACCAAAGGGGTTTTGGGGGCAATAGCTGTACTGAGGTACCCCAGCCTCAGAATGAGATCCTGAAACATAAGGCTGTGCCAGTGAGTTGGCTTCTTTTTGCACTGTGATACGAAAAATAATCTATCTTGTAAATGCTTCAGGTTCTGCTTTGAGGTTAAGTGAATATTTTAATAAGCAAAAGGAAAATCATGTTAGTTTTTTTTAGACGGATAGTACCAGAGGTTTTTTTTTACTCAGTTTAGATTTCTCCCTCCAGAATCATTATCCTGGTTGGAACTGAATTAGAAAAAGGAGTTTTGAGCTTTCCCAGTTAAAACCTTTATAAACCCAGATGAGTGGGTCTCTGCTGTTATGAGCAGTGTTTTTACAGTGTTAAGGAATAAAAAATCTTTCTAACCTAGCAAAAGAAAAGTGGAGATCGCAGTCCCTTCCAAAACGAGAGCTTTCTGGTGTTCTGCTCATTGGAGTGGTTTCAGACCTGAGGGGTGCGAACTGCATCGAACACAGTGGCCCAGTTAGACCAAGGGAAAGTTGTACGAAGATCTGTTTCTTCAATATGCCTTCCGCACTGGGGAACTAAAACCTGCTTCTCTCTCAATCTCTCCCCCGTAGATCCAAAAAGAGTGGTGGTTTATGACGAATCCAAGGACAGGCCTGACCAGTGAGGCTGCGACAGCCAACGCTTTGTACCTGAACACTGCTGCCCTCGCTGGCTGGAGGGTCGACCAGTTCCTCCACCACAGTGGGGGGCGTTGCAAAAACAAACAAAATCAATCGTCACTTTTGTAGTGGAACTGAGAGAGGGGAGTGCCCTGCAGCAGAGACTTCGCTGTGGAATTGAAACGGGGACGAGGGAGAGACTAGGGGGAGACACGGACCAGCCTCCCCGCGTCTGTCTGGGAGCTGCTTTGCGGAGACCTGCCACTGGGAGCCGCCGCGCGCTGGAGAGAGACTCTTGGCTTCCGGTACAGACTAGAATATCTCTGCTCTTGGACGCTGGCCGCAGGTGAGCTGGAGACCAGCTGAGCCTCCTGCACGAGCTTTGGTTGCGACAGCCTGGGACTCGCAGAGCCACCCCTGGGGGGGAGTGGGAGGGGGTTTGTCACGTGACGGGTGAGGCCGGGAGGCTCGATCTCTCTTCCCGAGCCTGCGGTGGCGTTGGGACTGAAGCCGATTGACGATGGGACGCCTCAGCCTTGTTATTTCCTTAAGCCGATCCACACACATGCAAACATATGTGCACTGTATGTACGTGTATATCTGCTTGGTGTGTGCAGTTATGCATTGGGTGTATGTATACATACACAAAAGCTGAGGAAGGTTGCCTTGAAGTTTCTCAACTGAAAAAAAAACAAACCAAGAAATGGCAGGAGACGTCAAGCATCCTGTCTTGCTGCAATTTAAAAAAAAAAAGCCAGGCCTTGAGAATGAAAAATTGTCTTAAATGTGCTGTGGGAAAAGATCGCTCAGTACAGTACTGACTTTGCTGGACATCTTTCATTAGCGATGCTTCTTTTTTTCTGTTGATTTCATTTCGTGAAATCGGAACCCAGCCAGGATCCGCGGGAGGTGGAGAAAGAGGGGAGCGGGTCGGGGGGGGGGGAGAGGGGGCGCCGGGTCTCCCCCGAGTCCGGCGGCTCTTCTGCTCCCGGTCCCTCTGCGCCGGCACCGCAAGCACAGAGCAGCCTGGTCTTTGCTTGGGATGTCACCAGCGTCTTCACGTATTTGAATGGTTGTTTTTTTTTTTTCCTCCTTCCTCATCCCTTGTGAACCTCTCCGCTAAATTACACCCCGTGTTGAAGTCGTGCGGAACAGGAGACTCCCCTAACGGTCCCGCTGAGTTGTTTGAATGAAGTGAGCTGGTGGCGTTGGCAGACCTGGGCTGCGCGAGGGGGGAGTTGGGGCTTTGGGGTTTTTTGGGTTGGGGCGGGTTAAGATCTTGGGGTCCGCCGCGGAGCCCTTGCGGGGGGGTGGGGGGGAGACGGAGCGCCGGCTGGGTTTCTCTCTCCGGCTTTCGGTCCGTCTCCGTACTCCTTCCTCGCCGCCTGCCCTCCTCTTCCTCGGCCGCTCCTGCTCGTGGCTGGGAGCCAATCTGACTGTTAGTGCCGCGAGGGATGAGGGGCATGTGGAGCCCGAAGTCGTGTCGTTTTCATGGAAATCCGTTCGGAGAATTGTGGAAGCAGCCGTGTTCATGGCTCGGACATTATTCTTGCGCGCAATTCTTCCCAGATTGTAGCATGTGCAAATGGAGCTGCGACGTTCCATTTTTCATTGTCCCCTCTACACTAAAGAAGCGTTTAGTTTAATGGCCACCCGTTGCTTAAGAACATGTGTGCAAGGAGGTAGTTTGAACTAGATAATAACTCCTTTCTCCTTGACAGTATTCAGATTCTGCTTCTTTTTTTTGAGCAGGGGCATTTTTAGGTTGTAGATTTTGTTTTTTCCAGTTAAAATGATTTGATTAAAAATGATTAGCACTTTATATAAACTAATTTTTTTCTAATAAATATATATATATGTGAAAATATAATGCTGTCCCCTGCTAAGAATGGCTTTGGGTTTTTAAAAAACACAAAAAAAAAACACAAAAAAAATAAGTCACTCAGGTAGAATTAGGAAAGCCATGATCTGACCAATAGGAAGTTTAATTGCCAAAAATGCTAATTCTAAACCTGCTGATTTTTAACATTAACTTGCCCTAAAAGACTTTTTAATTTAGAATTTTTAAGACATTAAAATCGTCATTGAACTTTCTATATCAATTTAAATTAACCTGTAGTGCTGTGTGATACATGATACCAAAAACATATATATCTATTTTGAAATTATATATATCTGTATTTTCGGGGGGGGGGTTTTCCCCGTGAAACCTGCGATGCGCCCGTCTCGTAGTGGAAGGTCAGGCGATGTTGAGATTTGAGATGTCGAGGGGTGTCCTGCGGGCCTGTCCCAGTTTCCGTTACTTTCATACGGAGCCGTGCTCCGCGGTGCAGGCGAGCCCACGCGTTTCCGAGGGGAAAAGAGTCCCTCTCGCGTCTCCTCGGACCGTCCCCCCGGAGTTTCCTTCATCCTTCCTTCTCTCCTTCCGCCGTAGCCTGGCGGAGTAGCTCCGGCCTCCAGCGGGACGGCTATGAAGCTGGTGAGGTCCGCAGCCCGGCGGTTCCGCCTCCGTTGGCGGAGATTTGGGATTGTCCCGGACTGTCCCGGCCTTGGAGCCGGCTCCCACTTCCTTATACAAGAAACTGTATACGGCCAATAAAGTGAGCTGATCTGATCTTAATTCCGCTAATTATTTGGTAGGCTTTCGGCATAGTTTTCGGGACTTTTCCGACTGCGTCTCTAGGAGTGGGTGTGGGCGCGGTGTGCGGTTTTGAAACCGAGTTCAGTGAAGCTGCCTGCACTCTGAATAGAGTAAGGTGAGAAAGTGCTGCTTAACCCTCGAGCTCATCTGTTCCTGGCCGAGTGCGCAATATTACTTTGCAGTATTAAACGGTCCTTCCATGACAAGAGGAACGGCGGTGCGCCGTGTTTCCCGTTTCGTCTTCAAAACATTTCGGTCGTGTTTAAAACTCGCTCCTTTCCTTAGCGTCCGAAGAGTAGTCACCGTGTGAGGGTGGGGTCCAGGAGTTAGTTTTTGTTGTTGGGTTTTTTTTTTTTTTTTTTTGGTGGAACGGAAAAGGCATCTTGTTCTTGGGATGCGGAAAAGAGCGGGAGTCCCATAGGATGGATCCAGGCGCGTGCCGAGTGTGCGTCACTGTGGCGCCGGTGGCGGGGTGGACTCGGCTGTGCGGTCAGGAAGAACCCGCAGGCGGTTTCACGCTTTGTGCCCAGTCCTGGAATATTGAATGGCCAGAGCAGTTTAGCCTTGCAGTTGAAATTCGCACCCGTGTGTTATAGACTGCCTGACGCAGGGAGTGGGAGTGTTAAACGCTGTCCACTCGGGATGGGGGCGGGTGGGGGAGGGAGCTCTTTTTAAACATGTTAGAAAGTCTTTATGATTATGAACTTCGATTTGTTTTTGTTTGTTTTTTTTTTAAAAAGAAAAACCTCTTAAAAGCACTTAAACCTTGTTCTTCTGTGTCTGTGACTGAATCGTGAATTGGGAGCACAGGAGGTGAGTGAGATGCACGCGGGGGTGGGGGGGGTAGGTCATTTCTCTGAGAGCACCGCAGCCTGCTAACCAAGCCCCAGACACGGCCGTTCTCCAGCGAGACCGACCTGGCGACAGCTGTTCGACAGGACCGTGTGTCAGGTGTTGGCCGGTTCCTCTCGCTGCTCCCTTGATATTTATGTACCTGTAAGTTTTCCTGGGAATGTCCACAGACTATGGGAGGGTTAAGGGAAGGTGCCGTTGTGTAGCTGGGCTGCCAGGTCGTTATTCCTGGTCCTGAAGCCACGTTATTACATATGAGTGCTTGCAGGCAGCAGACGGTGAGATCGGTTAGAAATGGCTTCTTCCCATTGAGAAGATTCCCCCCCGCCCCCTATACAATGTACAGGTCACCGATGTTTAAAGGGAATAAAAAGTGATCAACTTTCAAATCCCCAGACATGCAACTGTTTGTATATGTTGTTGGTTTGTTTTTGTACACGACTTCTTTTGTGCCATGTTTTGAGTTCCGCGTTCTGTTTAACAGCAAGTCGTTCTCCTAATGTTATATTTCAAGGTTATTCAGCACTGTTATTCAGCAGATCAATCTCTTAATTTTGCTTTTTATAAGAGACACTAGAAAACATTGATCGCTGTCTATACAATTGTACAATCAGGGCAGACTGTAAAATGAATATTGGAGCATTCACTACATTTGCACAGTTAGCCTTGTGCTTAGAGAATTACACTTGGTCACTCCAGATTTACAGGGTCTTAATTGTTACGTTTTCATTGAACAGTTGAGCTCTGATGATCAGTATCAGTGTTCAACAGTCGCTAAAACATTTTAATTAAAATAAGATGAAGGGCTTTGACCCGAGGTCATAGGGTTTAAATATATAGAAACTGCGCATTTTGCTTTTAATTTCTTTGAAAGGCACACTGTTGATCAAATTGCAATGCTCAAGGAGGAGTAACTGGAAGTGTGGTTATGTATAACTATGCTACTATAGTTGCTATGGTTCTATATATAGTTGTAGTTCAATTTTTCTCTTTTTTTTTAGCAGGATTTGTCTCTGTTAAAAAATATTCACACCGTTACACATAAGTGGGCCTGGAATGTTTTAGTTTTATAAATGACTTAGTGGTGGTGCTGTGAATCCGGACCCAGTGGCTCGAGGCCTCCCTGCTCAAGGCGTGGACACTTGTCCACTTTCTTTTGGACCGGCCAGTCGTCCGGGTTTGTCCTTTTGCACACCCGAGCTTGGCCAGCTCGGCGTTCCTCCGAGACGGGGAGAGGAGGAGTGGGTTTTCCTCTGGGACTAGATTCCGAGAGATTTTTTTTTCCTCTTTTCTTTGTCGCTTCCAAGGAGGAAAAGGAAAGAGCTGCCCAGATCCAGGCATCTCTGGGGGGTCACTGACGGGCTGCCGGCGACGGGCCTGGGCTCGCGGAGCGTCGCGGCATCCGGCCGTCTCCGCGGCGACGGGGTCCCACACTAAGCGCGCCGTTCAGGGCTTGCAGCCGGTACAGGGCAAGTCGCTCCAAACCCCTCCCGAAGCGGCGGGGTCGTTTCTGGGGCCGGTGTTGCCGGAGGTCCCGCTGCCCGGCCCCTCGCTGTCGCTCCCTTCCGAGGGCCTTCCGGCACCGAGGAGCTGGAGCTGCTGCCACGGCAGCTGGAGAAACGTCTCTCGGGGCCCCGCGGGAGACGCCGGGGAAGCATGGGGGATCCCGCATGAAGGGCTGGTCGAACCGCCTTTCGGGAAGACGTGAGGAAGCAGGGTTGGCCTCGGTACTGGGCGGAGGGCTGTGGCAGCGGTTCCACTTCCTCGTTGCGTTCCGAGCTCCTGCGGTTTGTCTTTCCGGCTCGGTTTAAATTTGGCTTTGGCTTTCTCCGCTGGATTTAGGAGAAGCTGTCCTGGGGCTTCAGAACCAAAAATATCTGCTCTCTGGCTACTGCAGCAAGCGTGGTATTCCAGAAGGGAACAGCAGCCAGGAATTGACATCTTTTTTTTTTTTTTTTTTGTTGTTGTTCATGCATCTATGTGATTGATAAGCCTGACTTCAAAGTCCGAGAGCACAGAGTGAGTCATTCGCGAGCTGTCTTAACCAGCCTTCAAAACTGGATCTGCATCTGAATCTTTTGTTTTCTTTTTCTTTTCTTTTTCATGGAAATGTCCTTAACGTTTCAGACCAATGTAACATTAAAATTCATTTCTGTTGCGCTTATTAAAATGGTTAAGGATCATTATCGAATGGAACGCTTGAACAGTTGCGTCCTTATTTTTGTGTTTTAGATGCGATTGTATTCCTGACCGACTGAAGTTTTGATTAATTTATCAAGTGGGTTCTGTCAGTGCTGGTTTGCTTTTTGTTGTTGGAAAATGTATTTAGGTACAAAGGAGGTGTCTTTACGCTATTTTAAAATGTTTTAAATGAGCATTCAGCCAGCTGCTATAGGAGAGCCTGGTACCATCGCACTGTCAGACTTGTGTTTTGTGCAGGACTGTGTGCAGAGAGGGGACAGAGCTACAGACTGTCGCTGCTTCCTTTCCTAGTTCCTCTGAAGCTCCACCTGTCCTGGGTCGGCCCGAGCCACAGTCTTTATTACAGACGCACAGCTGCCTCCGCAGTGTGACCTGCGGCCGTGCCCAGCCCGGCGGGGGTGCCCAGGGTCCAGGGCTCGGCTGTGCTGGCGCTGCGCTAGGAACTGGTCCCTGTCCGTCTTCATGGGGCGTCTCCCCCGGGTGCGTTCGCTCCACAGCTACTCTTTTTGATCTCCGAATGAAATTCAGCTGAAATCTGAAAACCTCCCCCCCCACCCCCTGAAATTACTCCATACTTCCAAAATCTAGTTTTTTTTTGCACCTTAAATGTTTAACACTTAACGCTCAAATGATGAGAGGAAAAATGTGCTCTAAAGTAAAAACAACTGATGATGAAATCTTGTTTTGTGTTTTTTTTAATGCAAACCTGGTTCTCTCCTTCACTTTTCATACAGAGAGCAGGGAGCAGAAAACATCGCCACTCATCCTGATGCTTGTAGGTGTGGCTGGCAGGGTTACAGAGAGTGTAGAAGGTTGGTTTGTTCTTTCTGGTATCTGAAATTGTGCTTTAACCCACAAGCTGAGCTCCCTCACGGTTCCTTGATAGCATAACCATGATCCCACCTGACACAACAAAGTCCTGGCTAGAACCATGTTTTGCCATTCTGTAATTGTTGAGTGTAGTAATTAAATGAAAGCAGCTTATGAGGCTTCATGGGAAATTAGTTTCAAAGTGCTCCCCACCCTGTTCAAGTAGTCTAAACACAAAATAGTCACTTTTGTGAAATTTGACCTGATTGGCTACAATCTGCCAGCCGAGTTTGCTTGGTAACGGTTGGTATAGCATAAGGTTTGAGAAGGGCTCCAATTCGGCCTCCTGGGAAAGCCACTTACATCTCTGGATGGATTTAGCGTCCTGAAGTTACAAAGCAAAACTGAAAGGGCTGCAGCGTTTTCAGTGGACATTTGGCAAATGTTAGGGAAAAGACTGTTTCTTTTTTGTTTGCAGACAGTTGTTGAGATGGTGCAAAAGTGTTTTTTTGTTGTTGTTTTTCTTTGGTTTCTGGATTTATTTTGTACTGGCCAGTCTTTAACCTTAAGAGCCATTTTTTTTTTTAAAGAAAGCTTTTGTTAAATTCCTAGCACTTTGGTTTTTAAATAAAAACAGCTAACAAAGTCTGCAAACTGTCTCAAAACCAGAACCTGCTCAGTTGGTTTCTGAGTTCTTGGCTTCTTATGATTCAGGTTTCAGCTGTGTTCCTAACAAAAACCTTGTGATGGGAAAATCACTTTCTACTTGAGGAGTTTAGTATTACAGGTAGTGGACTGACCTTTTTTCACCCCGAGTCCCCATCTTGTCACAGGTAACATGCTTTTACTTTAAGTAAATTATTTAATGCTGATGTGCTGGCAGCCTGTGGGTTGGTTTTGAATATTGGATGAGGTCACATGACCTTTGGCCAACAATGCATTGAGGTCAATGACCTTTGGTAAGTGTTGCAGCGGAGGTACTTGTTGAGCTCTGGGGAGCAAGAAAGTTCATGTAACAAGTACAGCTTGCACATGCCTTAGTGTTTGCAGCCTGATGACCAGTCATGTGAATTTTGCTAATCGAGGGTCTTGTCTCAGCAGGGCCCCTTGTTTCTGTTCTAACTTCCCAGCAGTGAATACATTTCCTTGAGGAGAATTGTTTCCATTATCTTACACTACTAGTTACACTTGAGCTCCCTTGCAATGCACAGAAGAGCTTAAAAACAATTGGAAAAAGTTAGGAATGTGATTGGAGTGGACTCTCTGGGTGGGGAGCAGAGGTGTTTTGGGGCCAGTAAATTGTTTATTTAGGCCAACACCCTTGACTAAGGACATCGTGATGTTTGTACTGCTCCTGTGGTAAAAGCATTTTTCCCAACAACCAGTTATAGTTTAGATTTTTACATATTCACATGACTGGGCACTGGAGGGTGCCACTTGACTACAAAAGCTCAGTTCATGGTCACAGTTTAAACCATACAAAGGCAGAGGCACCGATATGCAAGTTAGATGCACATAGTAGCACAGGTTGATTTTAAAATTTGCCATTAAGTGTACCCTTACCATTTAAAATTTACTTTTTATTTTAGACTTACTGTATTTTAAGTGTTACATCAATGAAATTGATTTCCTGTGAGCCAGCCAGCCAGCCTCTACAAAATGTATGTTAGAAATCCTTCCCTGGAACTGTGCATTGATGTAGGCTGGAAGGAATGAGAAGTTAGAGTGGAGCCTCATCCTCTTCTTTTGGGGTGGGGGGGAGGGGGGGTGTGTGTGAATAAGTAGCAATTAACCACAACAGCAGTAACTGTCTGGCTAGTCAATCTTTTGCTGGAGGGGGGGGGGGGAGAAACTGACTCTCCTTTAAATTCTGGCCTCTGGCTGAGCACTGTGCAGGTATTGATTGTGATTGAGGTGTACATGAGCCAGGGGAGAAGACACACAGGCACGGTCTCTCTTTCCTCTTCCTTTATTCCCATTCCTCCAGCCTGGCACTCTGACAAAGTCTTATGTCCATTTCTAATCTCTTTGAAAGAGTTTTAAAACAAGACAGACCAAGGTTAACAGTTTTGACAGTGTATAAATCTGCATGAGAATGATCAAAGAAAATCACCACCACAAACTTTTTTTTAAATGTCACATTTAATGAGTTTTCACCACTGTACTTCAATTCTACATTGTTTTTAAGAACGTGACCTGCCATTTTTTGCCACAACAGTAACAAACCAAGTTCCTTCGCTGGTATTGCACTGTCATTTCCCAACATTTTTCATCTTCAGTTCCTGAAGCAAGCAGGATTTGTTTTCAGTTTTAAATTACTTCTTGGTATAAACTTCAAATATTTTTTAAAAAACCTTCAATAGCACAAGTACCAGTTCCATTTCCTCCAACACATAATTCATAGTATACAGTTAGTCTCTTTCCCAGCACCCATCTTGTGTGATTAACTTTGTTGTACTTCATTCAAGTTTAAAATCCCTACGAATAGCTCTTCACCCAGTCTCCTATTCAGGTCACACAAGGGTCAAAGGTCATCCCTAAACAACTATGCATGAACTTCTAACAGTCCAGAATCCATGACCAGCTCTGGGTAGGTTTCGCCTGTATTTTCTACACAGTAACCCAATGGTTTAGATGTTTTTGTTTTGTTTTAATCCAATAAGAGTCTTTGTACAGGTGAAAAAAGGAAAAAAAAAATTCTTAAATATAAAAGCTGGAAGGGACATTCAAGTTTTAAATCTCCACAAAAAAAATTAAAGACGTGGAGGTAAACAACCAAGTTATTAAAGCCCAGGAGGTAGAGACCAACAATGTGAGTCCATTATATACATATACACACAATAGTTCAGTGTTTTTCTAAAGCAGGAGAAATTAAAAATAGTAATAAAATATTATAAAGCAAACCAAAATAAAAAAACGCTTGTATCTACTGTGATACACACTTCCACAGTTCTGTTGTAAGGACACAAGACAATTAACATAATTGGTTTTATGTTTTTTGTTTTGTTTTTTCTTTTATTTTTTTTTTACACTGTCCAGTGCAGGGAAGAAAAAAGTCACAAAAATAAAATTAAATTCACAGCCCTAAAAAATGTGCAGGCTAAATCCACCTTCTATACAGCAGTACTGTTTAAGGATTGTATTTTTTTGTTTTTTTATTTTTTTTATTTAAATCTATCCATTATTAACTTATTTACATATTATATTCTGTGGATCATGAGAATGCATGCCATAGAATGTTAAGAAATAAAAAAAACTCTAAAAATATATTAAATAGTTTTATTTAGAGGGTCTCTCAGTAGGTGTAGCAGGTACGTTATATGTATATGCAGGTATGTATGAAATTGTCTAAGCACTAGGAAGGGAACTGAAGTCTACTTCTGCTAGACATAAATAAACCCAATCTCACTCTACTCACTGACATTTGTGTTTCCCCACCAACAGCAAACACCACTACTACAATTCTATGAAGAAGAAAAAAAAGAAATGTGATTTCTAAGACGAGTGACACTATAGTGCCAGTGTCTGCCACCTGCTGACACCATTGGTCACACGAATGTCTTTTGCCTTCAGTCAAGTTGAGAATTATATATATAATTTAATATATATATAATTTAAAAGGAATGGCTCAGCAACACTCTACTCCTCTACCTTTTAAAATTACTTTCCGTTTAGTTTTAAATACAAGTTAATTCTTTTGGTTTGATTCGCTACCATCAGTGTATGCTTAAATCCATCTATATCTATATGTATATAAACATCAGTCAAACAGATATAGATATAGTTATAAATACCCATACAACTGCACTGCCCTGCCGGTGGTGCCTCAAAAACTATGCTCTGCAGAGGGTCTAGAGACCCAGGGCCGCTTTGCTAGTTCTCCCCCGTCGGCTCAGTCAGATCACCCCTTTCCCCAGACACCCCCGATTCCCCCCAAATGACTGTTCTTGTGGAGGACAAAATGCTTGGAAAAGAATGAGATCTGTACACACTCAGCCTCGCCCCCAGGCGTCTCTCTGGCTCGTGCCAACAGGAGAAGGTCCACGTGGGCCTGAAGGCCGTCCGACGCGGGTGGTGGGGATCGGGCACCAGTCCCACGAATGACTTGCAGAAGAAGTCCGGCAGAAATCCGAAGCGCTGGGTCTACCCTGCTGGAAGAGTCCGCCTCATGGATCCAAAGGCAGGGCAGTGTTGAGATCTGAGCCACAACATTAAAAGCTGGCAACTGGCACAAACATTATGTGCAGCAGTTGTTAAAAACTTACTTCCTTTAATTAGGCAAAACAATACTATTGGAACAACCACCCTCTTCAAACCTGTCGGACACAGTGACACCCCAAAATACTGATGCACCCGGGAGACCTGAATGCATTCTGAAAGCGTTTACTGTACAGCTCTTTTTGCATTCCGATTACGGAGGCTAAAATGTGCATATTGGCACTGATTATTATTTCTTAGAATTACTGTGTAGCTGTAAATAAAAACTTCTCTACCTTCACGCTGTAGACTATTGAGACAACAGTAATTGTTTTTCACTCCTGTCCCCCCAATAAAAACCAGGGAAGTGTGGAGTACTGCTATTCACTGCTTTCACAAGCAGAAGAAACTGAATGACCTAATCTCAGGGTCATTACAGTGTTATTTTTAAGATTTCCATTGCGTTATAAGTGGTTTTAAAATGATTTCTAAACGGCTCCAAAAATGCACTCAAGACCTCGACAATGGATGCCACACTATTTAAACATCACTGTGTGCCCCAGCATATGAGTGTGTGTATACAGACTAAATTTACCTTTATCTGTACACAAAACACAGCAACGTTCGCTGAGCCCCCTCATCCCAATCAGCAGTGGTTGATCTTTTAAAACTTCATTAGTAAAATTACAGTACACACATGATAAAAACAATCCAAAATCTCTAGTCCTAGACTCCAGTGAAATGCTACGTTGTAATGATGACTCTTCAGTAGTCAGGCGTCCTTCCACAGTTACTCCCACACCAGCGGAGACGGGGGCATCTCGGAGGGCTGGGCCACTGTGGAACTGTGGAGAAACGGCACCCCCTTTTATTAAATCAATCAGAGCCTGCGTTTATGAGGTGCATACCTGGTACGTTACTATGATTTGGGATATCCAGATTGAGAAGGACATTAACTGGCCTTATTATTATTTCTGCCCTCAGGGACTGGGCATGCATCAGGTCCATTAGCTGACCACATCCCCTGTCTCTCCTGGTTGCGTGTTGTTGCTTAGGTACGGGGCTCCAGGAGCCCCTAAAACTGAATTCTGCCGAGAAGATTGTCCGATGCGGAGGGCATCCAACCCTCTCTCATTTTCAGGAAGGGTTACTGTTGCACCAACCTGAAAGGGGAACTGCAATGCTATTTTTATATTTCGGGGTTAGAACTGTCTTGCCAAAAGTATCTTGTCAAAATAGACAAGAGTTCCAGGTATGTAAGCACCGTTCTGCGATTCAGAACAAGGCAACAAAACGTTTGGTGACCTTATTACATTGTATTCACAAGCCTGCTTCTTTACATCTCTTTTAATCCAATAGAAACATTGCTCACGATTTTGAGATGGTTTTGCCGACAAATACTACTTGTTAACTCAGCATGCAGGTCTCGTTGGAACATCACTGCAGTGAAATATTTGCTGCACAACCTGTGCTTATCTGCGTCGCAGTTCTTGGGATCTCAAATGCACGTTTGCAACATGGCGACTTACAGTAACAACTTCCACAAATCTCCCAATTTTGTGCTCAGTTCAGAATTTGTACAACTTTTTCTCTAACGTCAATGAATTTATTTGGTTACCGAATCCATCTGAGAAACTGAGACTGCAGCTCCCTTTTAAGACTACAGTGCAAAGCTCATAAAATGTTTGGGTTTAGTATTTGCTGCTGTAACCCACTGTCACGGATTCATTCAGATACCTGTAGACTTCAGAGAGGGTATTCTGGGTCAGTTTGACCACTTCTAAGAGAAGTCAAAGCCATACGGCATCAGTTCGTTCATAAAACAGCCTAGGCTGTCAATCACAAACGTAATTAAATTTGTCGAGCCAGGACTGTGTGCAAGTAGAACTAAAGCAGGGGTCTCAAACTCGATTCCCAGAGGTCCTCGAGTTTTCTAGTTTTTGTTCCACCTCACATTCTCACTTAGTTAATTATCCTCATAACTATAACACTTCTAACCAGGCTCTTTGGTCATTTATAAGCAGGTGTACCTTTGGTGATGGAATGCCTTGTGTAATTAATTGTAACCGACTTCAAGAAAGGTCCTATATATGTCTAATGCATAAAATTAATAATTAGGTTAATTCATTGACTTCACCAAAGGCACCAGGTCCCCCAGCGATTGGGCCTGAGAGCCCTGGACTCTGGCATGCATACTGTGGAGCCAAGCCAGGCGAACTGTACCTGATAAAGCTTTTAAAAGCAGCAGACTGTGGGTTGATGCAGAGTGGCACGCGGTTCCCTTTCTGCTGCTCCAGTATGAACTGGTGAATGATCTCTGTCGGAAACAAGGAGCAGGACAGCATGGTTAATCAATCGTCTGCTGACACACCCAGTGTTCTCTGGCACTTGGGGCGGCTGTTGTCTATCATGCAGATGGCAGCATGGCATGGTGTAAATCCATTTTTAATTCTTACGCAACCGTCATTTACTGGATTTTTTGCTTGACTTAAAATAGCACAGTCTGGGGATGCTTCACAATGACTCACTGTCTGAATAAGCTCTGGAAAAGCATGGAGAGCAGAGGGACAAAGTGAGGATGCAAAGCCCAGCTGCAGTAGTTAAAGGACAGATGACTTGCAGTCTGGGGTGGGGGAGGGTGGACAGAGACAACATCACAGTGTGCAGGAAGTGACTCCACAGCCAGGAGACGAGAGAGTGTGAAGCAGTTCGCCCAAGGATTTATGCAGAAAGGTCACAAAAAGTGTTAAAAGCTGATGGATGGTTTAATATTTCTACTTCATGATCAGCAAGGCTTCATTGAGTTATTTTTCTCTCTGGAAGTCAGTATTTCTGTTCCCTTCATTTTGAAGTTGAGCTGGGAGTTCACTGAACTAAGACTTGTAAGAAACTTGGAAACCTGGTCATTAACACCAAGAACCAACAGGACTGAGTGTGTGAGCATTGCACGGTACAGTAATAGTGCTCAGCCTCACAATTCATCTTCAAAAGAAGCCTTGTATAGGACTTGAACGCAGGAGAGCAGAACAAGGACACATCAACCCCTGCCACCTTCACCTGGAAATGAAATATTACTCTTTGCCCAGTGGAGCAGCAAGCACCCCCTTTGAGCAAGTCAGAGAAAATCTGAGGTAAAATAATAATTAATAATTCCTCACACTTATATAGCATTTTTCTGGACACTCCATTCAAAGCACTTTACAGGTAATGGGGAGCCCCAGTTTGCAGCCCCACCTGGATGATGCCCCAGTACTCTCCCCACACACCAGCTCTCAGTGGGAAGGAGAGCAGAGTGATGAAGCCAGTTCAGAGATGGGGATTATTAGGAGGTCATGATTGGTAAGGGCCAGGGGGAAATTTGGCCAGGACTCTGAGGTAACACCCCTACTCTTTTCGAGAAACACCCTGGGATTTTTAATGACCACAGAGAGTCAGGACCTCGGTTTTATCTCATCTGAAGGACGGTGCCTTTTTACAGTATAGTGTCCCCGTCACTATACTGGGGCATTAGCACCCACACAGACCGCAGGGTGAGCGCCCCCTACTGTCTCTCTAATACTTCTTCTAGCAGAAACCTTAGCTTTTCTAAGTCTTCCATCCAGATACTGGCCAGGCTCACACCTGCTGGGCTTCAGTGGGCTGCCAGCTGTGAGCTGCAGGGTAATATAGCTGCTAGTTATAAAAGGCTGAGGGAGTCCAGATCAGCTCAAAAGCCACAGATGTCTGTCCTGCTCCAGACTGAAAGAACATGACAGTGGACAGTCTGGGGCCTCTGGGGCACAGCTGCAGACCCGCGCGGCTCACCTTTGACCTGCCGCACAGAGGAGAGGTTCTTCTCGAAGCCGTCGTCGAACTTGGGGTTGGTGACGGGCTCGAAGTCGCTGGTGTAGACGCGACCGGAGGAGGTGGTGTAGCAGCACTTGCACATGCAGGTGTGGTAGCGCAGCCGGCCCTCGTCCAGGTAGGGGTGAGCCAGAGCGTCCTTCGCCGAGATGCGCTTCGACTGGACAGACCACAACAGCGCTCAGATCAGCAACCAAATCCATCATTTCACGCATTACCAAATCTCATTCAAGTGGAAAATAAAGTCTTCAAATCAGGGGGGGCAAAACAATTTCAAACTATACAAAAAGCCTTTACTTCCCCCTTCTGCAGAGGACTAAGCCGGTGCCTTTCAGGTATCGCACCTGAATGAGGTTGCCTCATGTAGCACAAACACTGCAGGTCCACTAGGGGGAGCTGTGGGAACCAAACCATGGAAAAAAATCGCCCTGTTTTCTCCCCCAAAAGCCAACAGGCCCTGCAGGGCTGTGAAGTGACCAGAAGGAGGAGCTCCGACAGTCCCAGCTGAGCAATTTTATTGCTGCATCTGTCAGGGAGAAACAGGAAGAAGCCTGCACCAGTGTGCATTGTGCTGTTTTGTTCAGTCTTCTGAAATTGAAGATTTTGATTGTTTCCTCTGTGTACTGCGATATGTATCCATCTAGGTACAAAACTGTGCACAAAGGGAATCTATAAATATCTGTCAACTATAACATATTAATCACATAAAAAGTGGAATATATTTTACCATTTTTGTTCTGGAGGCCTGAGCCTTTATTTCTGCCCAAGTCCGGGAGAACAAAGCTCATTGTAATAACAGACACGCTCCATAAATCTTTTGGCGATTTATCTCGAATGGTATTTTTTAACACAAAACAATGGCCACTACATTTGAAACCCTTTGAGTCACTTGCATCAGCAGTTTCTAGTTCACTTAGTGAGGCAGGAACCCCCCTCCCTCCCTGCCAAAAAGACACACACAGAAACAGAAAGAGGAACAAAGTGCTGCAAGAGCACAGAAGACCGTTTGCACTTCCACTACACAATAGAGCGTCCGAGCAGTGTGCTTTGCAGAAACAGGACACAGTCCAGGCATCTGGTGGGGGTGTTGGTAATACACTGACATGACTGCAGAGAACAGGCCCTGACAGTGATTTGGGGTCATACGGAAAAAATCAAACAGCCATTTGCGTGCACACATACTGTGGACACCTGGGGGAGGAATGAATCCAATTACATTTTGGGGTTTTAAGTTGTTCTGTTAAAAAAAAATCATAAAAGGGCTCAAATCTGCAACTGTGCCGTCACTTTTCTGGAGTTTTCAAAAAGCATTTAACCAACCACCCCCCAGTTGCACAGACCCCAGTGTCAAGGGGCCAGTCTTCCAATGAAGCAGGTTCGAGTCTAGTCAGCACGTGGACTGGGTGCTGTGAAGGCAAACCAAGCCCAGGTTCCGAAGAGACCAGCTGCTCCTGAACTGAAATGAGCCAGCTGTTACATGGCTGCCATCCACTCCAGTTTCAATCCCGAGCTTGTATTTCAAGAGTGGAGTCCAGCATCAAGCTACACCCTTACGACTGAAAGGCTCTCACTCACCGGATCAAAGACCAGCATCCTGCACAGGAGGTGAACGGCTTCATGCGTGGCCTGGCTTGACAGAGTGTACAGGACAGGAAGAGATGGCTGCAAAGACAGAACACAGTGCATCAGCCACCCAGGAACACCACCATGACCTGAACCCCGAATCCCCCCAAAAAACGATATATATACACACACACGCATACGGATGAGAAATTGTTTAAAGATATAACAATGTTCACTTACAACTGAGCTGAATTTAAAAACCTTTTTAATCTTTTGAAAAAGTCATAAGCAATCTGTGTGTGTGTGTGTGGAATGCTTTTTAGATGGAAAGATGTCAGAGGATGATAACTGACCCCACTCCAACCCTCCTTCTTTCACTGCACAAACTCATTTCAAAAGCACCTGTTCCCCATCATAAAGATCACAAGAACACAAAACAGCCCTGTATGGGGATCCATGGCCATCAGAAGCAGCCTAAACAGAATATCTGTAACAGATAAGGCAAGTGGGTCCCACCCACAAAACGGCATTTTGTTGAGGCCTTTCTCTTTTGCTTTCACACTGCAAAGAGGAAGCATCTCTCAGCCAGTGCAACACCACTGCACCGCACATGCAGGAGCACTAATGCACATTAACCCTGCATTAGCAGGCGGCCTTCTCTCCAGACAGATGAAGGAGAGGAAGAGCCGCCCGTCCTGATGGAGCAGATAAGAATTATGCTCGTGATGACTCAGGAAGGAGAGACTGGCTTGTAGAGAGACCGTATCTGGCACGCAGAGCCTGTTTATTCTAAAACAGGACACAGAATTGTGTTTGGAATCCGCAAGCGGCGCTGGAAGCAACTTCGTCTAGGATACGAGCTTTTGAGGAAGAGAGCAGCACTCTCAGATCACCCACAGGAAGCCCACTTGTATGGTATTAAGGAGTGAACCTGCTTTGTAATCCGTGCGTACGGATCGAGGGACCGGCTCCCCGCACCAAGCAGCGTGGATGTGGTTGCATCAAAGGAAACAAAATACGTCTTTTGAAAACCAGAAAGGCCAAGAGCTGAATCACATTGACACTGGAGCCCATCATTACCGTTCTCTGTGCTGCAGCTTTCCCTCATTACTGCTCACTCCTGCCATAAGCGCTTTTCTAGGCAGCATGTGCCACCTCATTCACAACCTTTACATGCCCGCAATGTGGCTCCAGCACAGCAAAGGCACTGTTTCCACTTCCTGCAGGAGCCACCAGGGAATAGCAGGGCCAGCCTGTTGCCAATATGCCCTGCACCAGTGTTGCATCATGCTTGGAATACAGGGGGAAGTGGACAGGTGGGTGAGGATCCAGAGAAGATCAGTATCAAGTCTTCATTTATGGGAACCGACAGACACTGCGTTGATGGAAAAATGTGGGAAGAACTGCTGTGTTAAAGCAAGGATTAATAATTGCACAGGTCAAAAGTGGATGATCCTTCAGGGTAGTTTACTGTGTCTAGCGAGTACAATAAACCTCCAGTGCCTGCCGCTGACCATGTACATAGTTTTGAACAAGTAAATTACGAGGTGGAAATGACCAAACCTCACAGATGAACATCTGGTCATTAGACCTCAGCATGGATGTGTCCAGACAAGCAGCAGAAAATGCTGTTGGTTAATCATACATCTGTGCTGAGCTTTTAGCGTTCAAGTCATTTCTTTACAACTTGCCAAAAAAGTCAAATTTAATGCTTTTAGAAGGAAAGAGCATGTTTCCACAAGGAAGTCAACAGTCCACTGCCCATTAATGTCAAGATCACTTCATTTCTCTTTTTTTTTTCTTTCAGAGCTTATAGATTGAGCTATTGTGTTGTTCAAACCACTTATTAAATTATGAATGTTATTTTTAAAATAGCCATTGGCATTCTGAGACACCCCTTCTACGGAGATCAATTCAAGCATACCCCAGGATGAGCGCTTAAACCTGGTCCAGATCAGTCACTTACGGGAGGTCATACAGAGTAATTCTGCACGTCTGGAGGAACAGGCTGATCTATATCGCGTAACCAGACGATACGCCTGTTACGGGAACTACACATCTGAAAGAAAAATTTTAAAATTGTGGATCACTTGTAACAGCTTTTTAATGCCTTGTATTGACATATATGTGGAAGAGGAAACACGAAACCTCAACTGGATATTGATTCATCCAGAATTCCATAATGCAGAAATGACAGTTCTCCGTTCTTTCCTTCCTAGAAACACTCCGAAGAAAACGCAGATTAATTTTCTTTTCTTTCGGTCAAGCAGTGCAGCTACAGCTCCTGACCTGAGCCCCTTGAGGAAGTGAGTGACGCTGCTGTGCTGTGCAGGTCTATCTCGACAGCCAGGCTCAGTTTCCTGTGCGGTGTTCTAGGTCTGACCTAGATACAACAGGGGAGAAGGCTTCGGCCCTCGCACCCTGCCTCGATGACGGAAGCAGCCAGCTCTCGTTGCTCAGCAAAAAAAAAAAACCCCGGAACGAGCAGCTTTCAAAACGAACGAGACCTAACAAAGGAAGGATGCCAGGCAGGACTGAGCGCCTTCTAATTCTTCATTGGGTGTGTGCTTTTTTTTTTTTTATCAGCTAGTCCTGCTGAGGAAACCTCAGTGTAATGATTACTTAACCACAGAGCACATTTCTGCCAAACCTGTCACCATGTGCTTGCACGCTCCTCCTGAAGCGCAATGAGTCACACGTGCGATCTTCAGCTCCAGGAGGATGAGAGCCGCAGGGGAGGACTCCACACCTCCAGCCCAGATCTTTCTCACGACTGAATTCCTCACATGGACCAGTGTGACTGAAACCCAGGCAGACTGGGGTGGGGACACATTTGTGTGTATGCCTGTTATCTAGTGCAGGTCTGTGCTAACATTGTAAATTCCATGGAAACAACCTGACTCTTGCGCTTGGTAATGGGAACATCAGTGTGCTTTTACAAACCAGCTTACGCCCTGGTGGCAGCTAACACTTTCCTGGTGGAACTCGGCAGCCATGCAAACCCCACAACTAGCCAATTCATTTCAAAACCAAGTCAAGAGCATCGCAAGTAAATATGACACATGAGAAGAGCGACGTCAAACCCCCGAGCAGTGCGAGACAGCAGATCTCTTGCACAAAGTGAAGCAGAACCTGGTCAGCCACTCTGTACACCTCCGTCAGCACAGAAAACTCAGAAGCCAAAACCAAGAAGCAGTTGGCATTCATTTCTAGGCAAAGCAGCTTAAGTACATGTACAGCAAATCTACACAAGGGCATCCTGTTTAGCCAGAAACTAATGACAGCCTATGGTGATCCTGTGGGCAGTGCACAGACAGCACCCTTGATCCTACCCTCACAATCTACAGTTCCCACTGTTCTTCTGAGCTGCACAGCAGGGCTGGGGCACAGTTCAACACAGTCACTAGCAAGTGTAACTTAATTGCTTTCTGTAAACATGTTTAGCAAAAACACAAATAGAAAAGACATCCTTTAAAAGCACTGATGGGCAATATCATCTAACGCAGACTAGATAAGAGTAAACTGCATACGAATGAACAAGTCAACTTGTACTCCCAAGGCATTTTAATTACAATGCCTCCCCTGAACCAATGCTGATGATTAGTGGTCACTGCCAAGGTTGAGACACTGCAGTAATTCTGCACCAGCACATCACATAACACTAACTGCACTAATACCCTGCAGAACATCTCTAAATGACGTTTATGTGAAACCTTCATCTGACTCATAATAAGGACGATGAAATGCTGTAAAAGCCTCATGAGTGTTCTTTCATACAGTCGGTGCATGCAGTAAGCACAGCACACTTCACAGCAATGAGCAGAGTGGAAGAAGCTATCCGAGAGGAAAACTATTCAAAATCAGCACAACCATACAGACAAGACAACAGTTCTACACTTCCTGCACGTGTCTCATGTCCTTTCCACATAAATAAGCCCAGAGAGCTGGTGATTTTTTACAGTTTTTAAACTCCTACTCTGATTGGCACTGGGCTTACAAACTTGACAGCATTTTTTTATGCTGCAGTTTATTTAGCAGGAGTTTGCCAAGAAAAAGGTTTTACTGAATTTACTAAAGACCATGTTCTGGCAAACCTAAGTTCACAGACCTAATTCTTCTAATTTTTCCAATTCGGCCAACCTGGTCAGTGAAGGTTGATATTCTGCATCAGGAAGCTGAAGGCTCTCTCTCATTTTGACCAAAATTACCATCAACGCGAAACAGCCAACAGCTGGTCTTTCTATTAGACTGAGGATGCCGTGTTGTCGAGACCTGATCCAGTGTAAACAAGCAAGTACTTTTACGAAGGAGTTAATGAAGTGATGATTACCGAGTGATACTCTAGCCTCGCACTCCTCTTCATGAACACCATCAGATCCACACGTTGATGTACAACTATCTCTGCCCCACGCACAGTTACTACCAGAGAGAGAAACAATCAGGGACACTCACTCACAGAGTTCTTATTTCAGCTGCTAGCAGGGAGCAGCCATCTGTCCTGTGCTTAGCTCTGATGCGAGACTTTGCTCGCCAGCCTGAAGAGCAGGAGAGGAGGCGAGCGCAGCCCCGCGGGGCCCGACTCAAACCAGAAGCTGCACCACGCTAACGAGGATGAAGGTGGAAGAATAAATCAGCAGCAGCGATGGCATCCGGGGAATCTTTCCAGGAGCTTTTACTCCACCGAGCGCAACACAACTGCTACTACCTCTTCAAACACAGATCATGTCCCACCAGCTGGAACAGATGAAGCCGACTTTCGCTCTACAAGAAGGCGCAGAAGCAGTCTGCAGAAGATCTGGGTTTTTATTAACAGAGGGGACTCTGCAAAGCAAGTCAGTAAATATCTTCACATGCAGACGGAGGAGGAAAGTAATTCGTAGCAGAACGGACACACTATACACATGGAACAGTAACTGTAACTCATTAGCTAATCAGCTTCATAAAATAAAGTTAAAATCTTTCTTACCCCGTTTATGGTGTTTACAAGTATAGGCACCTCTGCTCAACACTCTCATCTCACCCTAAATATTTGCTACTTCTTTGTTCAATAACCTTCAAAATGACAGTTATAAAAGATAAGGCTTTAATCAGTGTACACAATACTAAATGAATTAATGCATAAAGTCTAAAAATGACACTAACCTATTTACCTGTGACTACATTACATCAAGACAGTGCGACTAACAGTAACAAGAAGCTTTCGCAGCAAGAAAACAGCAGTAAACAAGGAGCACCAGTAAGAGCACTTAACCCTGCACACAGCGTTAATCAGCACAGATACCTGTACTGATGGATGGAAACTTGATCGGAAAAAAGCTGACAGCTGTGATTTAAATAGCAGCTGACAGAGGAAGAAGGAAAAGGCAGTGAGTGACAGAAATCACCTCTATGTGCTGCGTGATTCAAAATCAAAAAGCCAGATGCCAATCTTGAAATTCAGAAATCTGTGCAAAACTGAAAATACAGAAATATCTACTGTGATGCATCTAGACAAAAGTGCCTTTAACCAAATAAAACCAACTAATTTATTATTTTTACCTGCTGCTGTGCTGAACAGGATAACAAAGAGAACCCCACAGGCACCGTAAAATAAAACAGCCCATCTACAGAGAACCTTGACTGTTTGGCTTTTCTGGGGGAAAAGCACATGAAGACCACAAACCCAAGTCTCCTCTGACAATCTGGAGACCCAAGGCCCCCAGATCATGACATTCAATGACAGGGGGTTTAAACACAAATGCTTCTATAAAGGCTCAATGCATTAATGCTAAGCCACTTGCGCCACTGCATAAAGACTCAATTGGGAAATAATCAAATAGGTCCGGGCTCAGGGACAATTAGTGGAGCCGATTTTCACGGCTTGGCACAAATGTCTCCTTACGCCGCTGTTTAAAACAGGAGACAAAAGGGTCATGAGGAGGCATGGAAAAAAACTACAGTGGGATCTGGGGAGTGTCAGGCCCAAGCATCCATTGGCTGTAGGAGCATGAAGGGGAGAGAGCAATAACAGAGCTAAGAACAAAAAAGCCAGACCACTTCTCACACTACGTTTAATAGAGTAGTCGCCATTGTAAAGAATTTCAGCACATTTAATGTTAATTTATATAAAAAGGGAAAAAGAAATCCACCTGCTTCAGAGCAGCGCAACCTTCACATCCAGACCTCAATCTGCACCAGAGCCCCGCTCTCCGATCAGAGGGAAGGAACGAGCTATTCTGGGGATTCAGACAAGCTCAAAATATTTGAGACAAAAAGGTCCCTCTCTGAGACTTATGTTTAAATGCATTTCAAAATTAAAAAGGTAATGAGGTCCCCAGCGGGAGACAGAAATCAGTATCTTTAAAGTCCAGAACTGGGCTGCTCTCATCTTTTTTTTATTCCTCTTTTTCTTCATCTCGCAGACCCGTCTCATGAGGACGGAACTAGTGTTTAAGCCTTGAACTTTCCCTGGCTGTTCCTCTTGTTTACACGCACCTAACTCAATTCCTGAAATCCCAGGCACTCCTCCGAGCTCTCCTGTGTCCTACCTCTCTTTCTCAACCTGCTCTTCTCTTTACCTCAACAGGGGAGAAAAAAGAAGCTGATAAGCTGTGCCTAGGCAGCTGCAGACTCTGATTATTCCACTTTCATCTACAAGACGCCTTCCTTCCACACTGCACTCTGTTAACCCTTCAGTGCTCCTAGTGTTTGACACGACTGTACATTAGTCCCTGGGCATACGACCCAGCCACAGGACATTTTGAATATACACAGTGATTTTTCGTTAATGTTGATCTACATGTCAAAGGTAACCCTGGGAAAAAGATGCAATAAATATAACAAATATCAGTAACTGAATAAGAAAATGCCAAACCGTTTTTTCCCTCCTGAAATTTCAGTTTGATGCCATGTGATCAGATCCAATGTCCATGTCGTTTCGCCAGCAGGCAAAAAACGAGATTTTCCATTTCTAGTTTCAGAAATCACATTTTAGATCACCACATGCAATATCAAATTGTGACAATTCCAAACTGTACTCCCTCATTTGTAGAAGCCCTTTAACACTTCGTACTAGTAATACAAACTCCCTGCTTCTCCCCTAACCCTACACCCCTGCAGTCAGTGTATCCTGTCCTCACCAGTGTCACGTCTCCACGCCTGTCAATAAGATCCGATTAAAATATCCTGCTTCCAAATGGCTTCGTGGGGAGGGAACTGCAAGGTCGGCCAAAAGTCATTAGCAGGAAGGGAGACCCATTTCAAGGGGCCGGGGGCGAGATATGAACGGGCAGAATTAATTTGCAGTGCAGCCATGGGGCCCGCAGAGGAAGACTGCCACTCCGACCCGACTGACGCAGAGACTCTTTCAGTATGGGAAGAGGAACAGCTTTAGCACAATCAATGCGCGTCAGTAGCTCTAACCACAGTGCTTACGCAGCGTTTACATACAGACAAGCTTGACCTTTGAGGTCGGGTGTCCGGCCCTGCAGAGCACCCTGACAAAGCGATCAGCTGATACACTCCGCTGTTTATAAACAGGAAGAAAGAAAACCAAGACCATCACAAGAGCCAAGCCCAACGTAACGAGCAGCCTCCACAGCACCTCGCACTAGCAATGTGAATACAGCAGCTTATCTTTAGAAATGCATCTATTCACTGGAAACCCAAATGCCACCAAATTAAGTATCCCAGACATAACAATTAGGGTGATTTTTGTTTTGATATAAGTGGGAAAACATGTCGTATCTCGGACATATATCATTTAGGGATTTCAAATGCGTAATAAGTGAAACAAAAAATGTGGAACCATTCCTCTACTTCATTAAGGTTGAATCCACGTAGACAAATCAATTAGGGTTTTAATTAAGACATCACACCAGCAGCATCTTGCATTGCGGTGCAAAAGCTTCACTCCGAGTGCGATGAAACCTTGGATACCGGGTAGACCACTGATGCTCATTAAGACGCCGAAGGACAGCAGACTCCGTCCAAAGCACCATTTGGACAGGAATCAAGCTGCTGCTTGCTCACTGTGCTCTTTGTGCTGCTTTTTAAACACCTTTATTATTTTCTCCAATGGGGAACAATGGACAGTTCGTAACAGTCACGACTAGTCACGCAATGTGTTGCATTCAGATTTAGCTGTATTTCTAGTTTACATCAGAAATCCCCGGCCGAGGAGAAGAAAAGCAAATACAAAACAAATACAGATAAGCTGAAAAACAACCTAATTAGCTGTCCTTTCCACAGCTGAGCTGCACCAAACCAGACAAGTTCCTTCTTTTTAGAAAGCCTCCCCTGCTTTGGAAAGGAGTCTAAGGCAGGCACAGCTGCTGACCATGTGCTGCAATTTGCTGCTGACAGTATTTACCTGTTTATGGGGTCCCCTGAGGATATGAGCCTTGGCCCCTTCACACGCAGTTCTCATGGCTTCCAGAGATGGCGTTCCAAGCAGGTCTGTGATCAGATCCAACTGGAAAGCAAAGACATAGGATCAGGAAGGCCCCACTGCCATGTGCTCACTCACCCACACTCCCGAAAGGGAATCTGGTTCTGGATTTCATTATTTCAAAAGAAATTTAAAAGCCAAATCACTACAGAACATCTACAAACCAAACGTTTAACCACATACCCATGAAGCCTCACATATAATGTACTCGGTCCCCGTTGCGCATTGGTGACATATAAACAATTAGTAAATGCTTTCAAAAATCAACATTGCTAGAAAATAAACATAATAAGTGTCTCATCCCACCCACATGAAATCTGCCTGTGACAAACTCAAGAAAATAACACATCACGCAGAGAAAAATATGCTGCTACAAAGATCTTGGGTCTTGCTCTTGCTACACTACAGATATACTGCTGAAGACATGCTGCCGTGAAGAATGGGCCCATTGCAAAATTAATACAGTCAATCTCCGAGTAAAAATACAGTATAATTTCAAGGCTTTGGCTGGAAAATTTGCGTGACAAATCTCGTTAATTCTCATTTTTGGCTGGACAAAAAAATGAGCCACGGCACATTTGTTTCACAATATGCTGAGTGAGTCTCTGAAAAGCGTGTCCAACACTTCCCCGGCTGAGCCTCTGCGATATAAATAGAAGAGAGGGCTTCCTTCCCTGAAAATCCCCCCCGCATCAAAGACGAGGCTGGGAGGAGAGGAGGAGGAGAACGAGACGTCACACCTATCAAGGGCACATAGGCGCTGGATGCACGGTTTAATAGTTAAAAAAAAACGGTTTTATCAACCGGCAGAACAAATGAGAGACATTAGCAGGGATGGGAGAGGGGGCTGTTAGGAAGCAAGGGGGAAGCTTCAGGATCAAAGCAGGCTCCAAGCGGCCCTGCATGCATCATGGCCTCCACTCTGGGCGGAGAGGTGGCTCTGTGGCTCAGGATCTGTGCTTGTGACTGGAAGGTTGCCGGTTCAAATCCCGCAGCCGGCAGAGGAATCCTACTCCGTTGGGCCCTTGAGCAAGGCCCTTAACCCCAGCTGCTCCAGGGGCGCTGTACAATGACTGACCCTGCGCTCTGACCCCAAGCTTCTCTGCCTGTCTGTGTGTCTCATGGAGAGCAAGCTGGGGTATGCGAAAAGATGAATTCCTTATGCAAGAAATTGTATAGGGCCAATAAAGCAACATTACATTACTCTGGCCCCCCGATGTCACCCGGAGCTGCACAGCCTCACCTGCTGAATGGGGCTCTGCGCCTGGAACAGGATCCTGCGCCCCAGCAGCTCGGCGAAGATGCAGCCCACAGACCAGATGTCGATGGCGTTGGAGTAGTGCCTGCTGCCCATGAGGATCTCTGGCGCGCGGTAATACTGAGTTACCACTTCTTGCGTCATGTGCCGAGATTCGTCGGGCTCCTCCACTCGCGCCAGGCCAAAGTCGCAGATCTACGCAGGCAAACCCAGAGACAGTGTTAAAAAACTCGGGATCAAGGGCAACACAATGTTGCCGTCCATATCCTTCTCGCCCAAACACACATTTGAAAACGCAGATTTTACAATGCCATTCTTTTTTACTCCATGCTTAGTTAAGCAGTAAAATATACAATATTTTTAAAAAGTCAATCTGGATTATAAATTGAGATTGACACAAATAATCACACATTTCTATTGAAAAGCTATTATAAAAACCATTCATTTCACTGTGGTTTCAATAAAGCACATTACAAATGTGCCAAGAGGTACAATGCAGTCATTTTATAATTCAGATCAAAAGGGCAACCAACAATAAGAGAGATGCACTGCAGCAGAAGCAGCACACTCCGAGGGGTATAAACTATAATACATTTACATTTTTCATGTCAAAGCTTTCATTTGGCTTGATTAGTTATGGATATGATATATGGGAGCCTTGTACAAAATAATTTTGTTCTACAACATAACCATGAATGGTAATGTGATCCCCAGTCAAAAACCATACAAATTTAAAGTGTGGAATCAAGCGTTAAGAAGATCACAAATGTGAAGATGAGTCGACCACATGATGATGCATCTTCAAGACTCTTCCAGGGTGCTTGATATCTCTTCATACAGGAGAGCAGGGACACCCACAGACAGGCCTCCCAAAAAAGGGAGATGAGTAGGCTAAAAACTGAGAAGGTGCATGACCGCAAGATTTATCATCCTACTATTTTTATGCCCACTCTATCATACATAAGAAAAAAAAAGGCTTGCCAAAAGATGACAAGACACACTTGCTTTGTATTGGCTCAAGAAGCTGCATAAAAAAAACCTTTGTTGATTCTGGTTGATTCTTGTTCAACATCTCAGCAGATCAGCTCCATCCCGATTTGAGGCAGAAGCTTTTAAGAAAAGTTGAATCCAAATCTCAGGGTGCTATTTAATTCCTTCTAGTTTCACAAGTGAGACATTAGAGGATAGATGGCGCGTAACTAATGATGCTCGATGCTGAAAGCAAAGTCTGAAATAGTCGAGCTACGGCCAGTCACGGCAACATTATTCTGCAGGTTTTTAAAGTACTTTACGTCATCTGAATGTGCATGTACTTTTAAATTCCATTTTATTGTGTACACAATTAAGTGAAACCATAGTGACTTTATGTACTGGCTGTCTAGTCTGATGATTGCACTGCAAGTGATGTAATGCCTAAATAATCTTCTGAGCTTACAACTCTCAGGAAAAAAAAAACTAATTTTTGAGTTAACTTTTACCCAAGTGTCTTATTTCTTACGATTTGACACTGACAAAAAAAAAAGATTTGTGATGAGTTCAGATTGAATAGTGACCCCAGGTAATTGAAACCAAAACACGAATTCTAACAGCCCTGTGACTTAGCCATGGAAGTGAATCTCGGATTGGGACTACAATTAAGCACCTTATGGTGCTGTTATGTTAAAGAAACAGATTGTACTTGTCACTGATTAACGCTTCGTTGCCAGGTGTTCAAATGAAGAAAAAAAAATGAATAAACCCATGCAGACGATTTCAGTCCAGCTGACACCCAGAGTGCTATACAGAAAGTCTAATAGAGGTCAAGAGGCCAGCTGGACTGGTCCACTAATTCCTCAAAAGCTGACATGCAACACTGATTCCTTGTTGCTGATATTTTAAACACCCTTCTTTTGAGCCTCATATGTACTATATTCAACCAAGGAAAAACAAAATGATTGTGGGCTTATTGCTACTAGAAAAATCAAATCTGGCCTTACGCAGGGAACAAATGTTCCAGTAAGGTAACAACATGAAATAGTGTGGTAACAATAAAACCACTGTTTTTGAACCTATGATGAGCAAAACAAAAGAGAGAAACAAGAGTGGACATTTGAAAAGCTTAAATCATTTCTAGATTCTCGAGGGCACAAATAGAATACACACTTATGATCTTATGATCTCAGAACAGCACTTGCACTGACTGAACAAGAAAAGGGAGAAGAACCAACCTTGAGGACACAGTTGCTGTTTACAAGTAGGTTTCCTGGTTTTATGTCTCTATGCAAAATGCCAGCTGAGTGAAGATACTTCAGGCCTACAAGATAAAATTCAAAACACCCCAGATCACACTGGCTCCTTTAAGGACTACAGGCACACGTTAAGTAGGTTAAGAAATTGAGATATCCTACATTAAACTGTAAAAAAAAAGGTGAGCAAGTGCAGTTTAATGCTAAACCCACACCCCCCCCCCGCCTGTCGTAACCAGCTGCCTACATGTGCTCCCCTCGCTGAAGTCTGGTTAATACAGGCCTCTGTCAGAATAAAGGAAATCTGGTTAAAAGCAGGAGCTTACTGGGTACATAAATAAGGGCTGCTGAGTATGACAAAAATAAAAGCCACCTGAGTATCAGAAGAGAGCCTTCAACAAAGGTTTAAGAGGCACACATATGGTTTTTGCCATGATGGCGAGTAGTTTTAAAAATAACATCAGTAATAAATTAAAACATTATCCATTTCAATTTCAGTATAATATCACATCTGGTGGTTTTGTTACTCAAAAATGTAAGTCCATGCTAAAGTAAAAAATTATATCCACTAGTTAAAACTGATGATAACTGACACTCTCCCTGTACAGCAACATAAATGCTACAATCATGTCAAAGACTGGTGGGGACATTTGTTTTGGTATGAAGAAACGTAATGTTCTAGAAAGTAACAATCTTGCACTTCTACCTACACTCAGGCGATTCAAGTTACCCCAGAAAAATCCTCATATTTCAAGTCTGGCTGATTGAATGAATTAAACATTCGAGCAACATCTGATCCAGTTCCAGCAGGTGGGCTTGTGAATGCTCTTACCTCTCAGTATCTGATACAGAAAGACCTTCACGTGGTCAGAGCTGAGCGGCTGGGGGGACACGATGATCTTGTGGAGGTCACTCTGCATCAGCTCGGTTACCACGTAGCTGGGCAGGGCGCAGAGTCAAGGAAGAAAATTAAAAGAAAAACAAGGTGGGGAATAAAGCCTACACGCAAATCACAAAGAACTGTTTTAGAGGATCGAAAAAGCAGGAAAAAAAAAGGCAGAGCTCTGAGCAGAAACCATGGCTGGGAGCCCAGGAAGAGCAGAACAGCGCTCTGCACCTCTCACTAAAGCTGGCAGCTTGACGGAACATATTCCACTGATCGGGCTGCAGGTGTAGAATAATGGAGGGAGCAATTAATGGCCATCATATGCTTTGATAATTAGGGCCCTGCCTCTTTCTTTCAATCACATCTATGTGCCCACAAGGAGCCCAGAACTGCCTTTCAAGCAGTCTCAGGGGGGATGGAGAACAGGAAAAGGTCAGTAAACGCTGGTACTTTGCATTTATATAGCGCTCTTCCTTCCCCGAGGATCTCCAGGCACTGAAGTGCTGCACACTTAACCTTCTACACAGCAGACGAGAGGTGAGCAGTTATTCCACCAGTGAAGCTACAGCGAGGAGATGGTCACTCTCTTAGTAAAGAGAAGACGAGTCAGATGCCACAATAAGGCCAGGCCTGTGCCTTGGGCTCAACCTGTCATTTCACTGGGCTGAATAGCAGCTGCAGCATAACATACATGGTGTAGAACTTGATACAACACCAGAACAGGCATAATAAACTATGAGTCTTAATAGAACATATTTGTGAAATGATCTTCTGTGATAGGAAAGACTGATCTTAAGATTCTGTTGGTGTGAATAGTTCAGCAACATCACCTGATTTCGTTAGCTGGTGAAAGGATCTGGTGAGGTTCCCCGAGTGCTGTGCGTACGAACATAGGTGGGGTGAGGAAGAAAAGGAAATTTAAAAAATATATATACTTCTTAGCAATATTACAGGATCTCAAATCAAATTAAGACCACTGTATAAATACTCACAGTTAATCACTGCTGAACACATGTATGATCAAGCACGCTGAATATCATTTTTTTTATTTTTTTAAATCACAACAGCAAATGTTTTTTTTTCTCCCCTGGGTTAACAGGTTGCAACAGAATACAGTACCTGGGCAAGACATCACAGATAAAAACACTCATCAACTCCAGCAATTAGAAAGTCAGCCTGCTCCATTTTTCACACCCTTTTCCTTTCGGTTACATTTATGCCAGAGGACAAAGGAACCACGCATTACAGAACCCGCCCAGCTGCCTTCATGCCGAGAGGTCATTTGTTTGGGAAGCTATTTCCCGATCTAGTCTTCTTCACGCTCGGAATACGACAACACCTCCAAAGATAACCTGTGGCACAGCTAGAGAGCGTCGGCTGTTCTCCAGTCGCAATGTCTTTATCCATCCAGCCATCTTGCACTGTCAGCAAATGATAACATTCCCTTGGCTACAGTCGCACACAGCCGCTGAGAGCAAGACTGAACTGTGAACGCATTTTGGCAGCAAGACTGATTGGTGCCGATCTCTCACCACTGCATAATCTGCCTATCAGTCCCTCTGGTGCTTCCAATTAGAACTTATGTTGTGAAGGTGTTAAGAACAACAACAAAAAAAAAGTGGCCAGGAAAACCACAAACTAGTGAAGAAAAAATTATCCTTCAGGGGAAGATTTGGACAGCCATCGGAACATGTCAGTGACACTGGGAACAGACTCATCTTGAGCAATCACCCTTACATTTTAACATCTGTTCAGGTTACAGTGGATATCCATTCACTACCTTGCCGTGCTATAGTGAGCGAGATCTTTTTTCCCCCCATACCACATCAGCGTCAGGGTTTTGACTTGCAGGAAGCCAAACAGCCGGGTACCGCATCATACAGAAACGCGATGAGCAGCTGAAACCGGCCTCTTCAGGAGTGGAGTGGAAGCACAGCTCTATCCCAGCCAGACACCTCCCCCCACCCCCCTGCAGGTTCACCTCCCCTATCAGCAGCAGCGAGCAGAACAAAAATGCCGTTTCCCCTATGGCTACAGCCTGCACTCGCCTTTCCTGCTAAGTGCAGAAAAAAAAAGAAAAGAAATGCACAACACAAACACTTCAGTTAACTGTGCTTGCGATTCCTCTCCCTTTCAGCCGAGCACTCACCACAAATCGGAATCACAGCTCAAGGTTCAGCTCCAGGTGTTTCCCTGCTAGCAATAATGAAAAGCCAAGGCATGATGACAAATATTTCAACAGAAATACTCCGCTTTGCCTGGAATTGCTCGCTCCTCTTGTGTCTTGTAAGGCACATCAGAACGTCTTGTCATCGGCGTTTTAAATGAAAATAAACAGCCTGTGTTTCGATAAACACAACACATAGGGGTTAACCAGCCTGGCAGTGGAGAAGCAGCACAATATTCTACTTTGGCTATTTGCTTACATATTCAAATTAGTCAGGAAAGAACTAGGTTAGGGGGAAGTCTGTACCAAAGTTTCAGCCCCTTCCATTTACTTATTCCACACCAATTTACATACTCAAAAACAGTTTAGGAATTGAAAACTGGCAAACCACTTACAAATAGTTTGCATTTGATACGACTTTGATACATAGCCTTAGAAATGAACAATTAACAAGCAGCCTGTAATAAGGCTCTGGAAAGCTTCTCCCCTAGAACTAGCACTGCATACAATAAAAACTGCCCTGAAAAGCCACCATGCGGTTTTAAAATAAATGGACACAAAGAATGGCCCTCGTGTGGGCAGACACTTTGACCTGACAAGCTCTCTTCTTATTAAGGCTTTAAATCCTCCTAAATTTGAATCCCCAGCATAACGTATCCCAGATGTCTCAACCTGTCGTTGCCATGCCAACGAAAGCCGCTTACAGGGAACGAGAGGCGGAGAGGCACCTGTGCCGCGAGGTCAGGCTCCACACCAACCGGAGCGGCTAGGAGGCGTGGCCAGCAGGCGCCCAGCTCTGCAATCTCACAAGGGCCTGCAAAGCCCACTGCTGAGGCCATGCTACCCCTCCACTGGACAGCTACACAATGAGAAAACAAAAACCAAACAGGCACAGGCACGCACACACACACACACACAGGCACGCACACACACACAGGCACGCACACACACAGAGAAAGGGGGCAAAAAAACTTGTACAATAACCTCGCAAACAGATGGCAACCCCTAAGTAGGTCATTCTCTGCTCTCAGGCCCACTGATCCACAGTTTGGAGAAGCACTAACCCAGGTTTAGTCAGCAGCCCGGGATTGATTATCGTTCGGCTGCATCCAGCACTGAGGGTGAATCCCCAGTTTTGCTCATCATATTATTTCCTATATTGGGCAAAATAAAATCCGACCCTACTGGCCTTCATCCAGTTTTTCCCCCATCCATAATCCTACTTTCTGTATTTCAAGGCCCTACTGTAAACTTCAAAATCCTGCTGTTTTAATATCTGAAAAAAATTCTGGGCTGCATAAAAGCATACGTTCAATAAAAACCACATCACCAGCCACCTACCCAGCATGCCTTCCAAATTTGGATCTTAACACATTGGAATATACTCCCATGGCAGCTAGCTCCTTGGCAGCGTGGTGCAACACATGCTACACACTTCAGCACCCGATCAAACACTTGCACAAAAACAACAAACAAAAAAAATGAAAGTGGCCTTTTACAAATAAATATTCAACTCAAAGACTCAGACATTCCTGCTGGTACTGACATGAGGCCATGTTCGCTTAACCTTTGACAAAACTGCTAAGGCCATGAAAAGTTAATTTAAAACTTACCAACCCACTTACCAGTTGCAAATTACAAGCCCCCTGGGTGCAAGTAAGAAGCATCTGTCAAACAAACACTTCTCACGGACTGGGGTGGTAATTTGCAATTGGCAAGAGTTAAAGCTTTGATTTTACATGAGGCCAAGACTGTACGTTAATTTGTTTTTCCTTCTCTGCTAAGACAAAGCTATGTGATGCAACAAAATAATTCAAATATTCCAACGCATTTCTTTATGGGTTTGCACATATTCCCTTCTTCAGGAAAGTGCTGCAAACTGGAAGCGGTAACCATGTGTTAAGTATACATCTCTAAGAGACCTGGAGGCAGTTACTTCACAATAGAATTCCTCCTCTTTCTTCTCAGGCTGGAAAATGTACTTATACACCCCATTTTATGGTAGCAACCCTGCTTGTCAGACTCTGTTTACAAGACGCTAAGTCTTGCCACAAGGAATTTCACTGGACTCTGCAGCAAGAGCTCCACTTTTTATTATCACTGCAGAAAATATTCAGGAATCAGCAGTATAAACAGGCGTAATCAGGACTAGATCAAACACAAAGATCTCATGTTGTATTCCATACAAATGTTCTCCTACATATGCTTGAGTTTCTAAATGTATTTTGTATTCTTTAAGGCAATGATGGAATCTTTTCATAGCATTATAAATTATCGCAAAATCTGCTTGTGCCAAAAGAGCTCTACAGCAAAACCTCTGGCAAACTGAGAAACTGACGTGCATGGATACGTTTTTCTTCTTTGTTTCATCCCCTTTCTCTGTATTTCACATCTCCTCTGTCAAACTCAACTGATCTGTGCTATTTTAAATTTACAAAGTTCTTTAATGCATGCCTGCTTCCTAGATATAATCTTTATTTTACACAGTGTCCCTCTTGGCACTTCTCAAAAGTTGCACAACAAATTTCACACCTTAGCATTTCAAAGGTGAGCAAGTGTATAGTACATATCAATGAACCCAACATGCAATATTTTTTTGCCACCTTTTTAATTGCCCCTGCTGTTACAAATGAAATACTGCACCGACTTCAACCCCAATATGTCTACACTGCTTATTATTAAGGGCCAAAATGACATTTCAGCTGTGTTACACAACATCCCAAGAGCAGTTTTCATCACCTTGTGCAACACACACATATAGAGGAGATCCCCCTGGTGCAAAACACCCCCGTGGAAATATTTAATCAAAACACTCAGAGGATTCATTCGCAAGCTTGTGCGACTGAAAGCAGAAGACAAAACAATCTCAATTAATAACAATATGAAAACCATAAAACAAAGACAAAAAAATCTATAATGCCTTCACTATACCAGTGGTGCACCAAATGGGATAAGAACTAAAGCATGTGGTCTCTGACCCTTGAACAACACTGTGATGTTTTGCTAGGAGGTGAAAAGGCTAACAGATTAGTCTCTAAGGCAGAATCACAGGGCTGGCGTGGAGAAACAACCTCCTCCTGTTGCTCAGACACTTGAGCTTAGTTCAGCTAGACTCAGACCAACTAGATAAACATAAGAGATTCTTGTATGTCCCACTGATGACAAACACACTCACTGCTGCTGAAATTTCTTATAAGTAAAGCAATAGCTTGTAACTAAACAAAACGCAGGGAAGTAATTTCCCGTTCCCCCTTTTTTCTACCCTCGTCGGCTCACTATATAAGAAAGGACCTAATTCACTGTAGCTGTTGTATGAATGCAATGGAAAAAAGGCATTAACACTTCCATATTAGTCTCTAATTTACCACAAACCGTGCACAAGAAGGAGGGGTGTTCTACAGACAAAACTGATGGGTCAGGCAAAGGATCTCCACTTTAGTGTAAATGAAAGCGAAACAAGTACTTCAGCCTTAAACTGCAAGCATTAGATCTGTCACCATTCGAAACCAGACTCATTTTCCCGAGCTGCCCTCCGTCCGACCCCAAGAAATCGAGCCCCACGCAGAAGATCAGGGGTCAGAAAAGAGAAGAGGATCTGGGCTAACACTGTGGGCCTGGCGGCACGCCAGCACTGCAGGAAGAGCTGTGAAGGCAATGCTCGTGCCAGCATGCTGATGGCATTCTGCAACGCGCATGCACTTCCCTAATTACAGCACGGCTGCTGAAATGCAAATTTCAGACCTCTCCTTGTCCCTCTACCCAACAAACTAATCTGCTGCATTTGCTCGATTAATGTCTAGACAAGGCTTCCATTCACTGAGAATGGAAGAGCTCTAGCCTCGGTCTGGCTTCCATATGGTTACAGAAACACAAAGATGGAATCAGTGCAGATGTTTGCCTATACGAGGACAGGAATTAATGCACATACCTTTTAATAAGGTGTTTTGTGTGCAAGAGAATAAAACTAATCTGCTGTCAATATTCTAAGGAGATGCATTAAATGTGTGCTTTTGTGTAATAACATTTGATCATAATTTTGGGTAAAAGGGTTGTTCAGTTTTTGTAAAAAAAATAACTGAAGTCTGGCATAAAGCTATGTTTACCACTTTGAACTGAAAGATTTTGCACATCTTTTTCAGATACAGTTTTCTGAACCACAAAGGTAGGAGATACTATGTTCTTACATCAGAAGGGTTTAAACCTAAAGAGCGATTGACAACTAGGAGAATTTCACAAAGCCACAAGAGTATGTCACCACAATTCAGCTGTCGGGTTTGCTTAAGAGGAAAATAGCAGAGAAGTCATCTTGCAGAATCTCAATATAAATGAGGCACAAAGTAAAAAAAAAACAAACAATAAAAAACACCCTGGATAGCTGAAATCTATAAAAACTCACACAGAACAGGGGGAACAGCAAACTGATAAAAAGCCGAGGATATAAATCTTTAATTCCAGCACCCCCTCCTCTGCCATGAAGAAGTATATGCAGACCCCCCCCCCGGGGAGGCACAGAGCCTGCAATCGTTATGGAAGTGGTGTCCGACAGCGATATCCTGAAAGAGGTCAGTGTGCTGAAAGCCCAGCTCTCTGCATACGTTACACCCCCCCCAAGCCCGTCTTCTGGAACGTTAAGCATGGTTTGCTCAAGCCGAAGAGCTACAAAAGAAGAAAAAAAGAAAGAGGGGGGTGGCAGATCACGTCCAGAGATAACGCATCAGAAGCCCCGCCGAGATCAGATCTGAAAAACGGAGCAACTAATACATGAAGCCGCTAAACACGCGCCTCTGCAATTCAACTCCGGAAGAAGATCGTGCTAACTTGTAATACAATGGGGGGGGGGGGGGGTGGAAAAATAATACAATTAAAAAAAAGATAAAAATCATTCCTAGAAAAGAAACGAACAGATCGATTTGGTGGATTTACAGTTCAGCGTGCAGGGTAGTATAGATGCTAGCAGCTCCGCCTGTGAGCACAGGATAGCAGGCACTGTAACAGGGTAACATGGCTCTCGGCTGTAACAACCATGTGTGGAATGTAATGCTGCAGCTAAATGGCATAATCCGGCCAGCAGGGCCCAAAAGGGCAACGCAGAAAGAGAAGGGGGTTCGCATGCGATCAGGTTACATCTGATGAGAACAGGCACGCGTGGATCCCGCAGGTCATGCGACGTGGAACACTAAAACACCAAGCCCTTTATTGCTTGGCTTCTCTCTGGGGGGGGCGGAGAGGGCAATTTTCTTCCAAACGTTTAAAAAAACAAAACAAAATAGTGCTTAAAAAGAAATAACAATGCAACACAATAGACTAATACTGAATTGCAGACAGATTGTGCAAACTCCACCCAAGAGCCCATCTCTTAGAAATTAAATGAGCCCTACAATACCAAAAGCAACATTTTTCCAGAACAAAACTTAAGTGTGAGACGTGACAGGGAATTCATCATCACAGAACATAAAAAAAAATTCTCCCACCACAACGAATTTAGCGCCATCACAAAAAGCTGGCGAGCCCTCCTTACATGAGATCACAGGAGGCCGAGTTCCACGTTCAGCTTTTCAAATCAACTCGCTCTTGAATTTTAAAATCAATGCAAAATCAAGTTGCGTCAAAATAATCTAGATCCCACTTCTTCCTGAAATCGAGAGTCCAGTCACAAAAGTCCAAGGTTAAAATTCTGCAAACGCTGCCAAATCTGTTTTACTGGAACAAAGCCCTGCCAGGTTTTGGAACAGGTTTTATTTTCTTTTTGGATAAAACCACACGACCCCCAGCGGTTCATCCTCCTCATAGTTGCCTTCTGCACTCCCCCCTGACACCCTGCTCTCTCCCTTACAAGCTAACTCGCCTTCCTTGAGACCACACAGAGCCCTTGTGCCCGAGGAGAGATTCACAGATTGAAATTTCAACAGAGATGCACTTTCTGCCCTTATCAAAACTGACATGACAGTTGTAATTCCATCTTGCTCCACACATCCTTATTCCCTGGCTCACTAAAGTGTAAGATATCTACTTCCTAGCAGTCCGATACGACTTCCACACCCTTCTCAGGAGATCCTGTCAAGTATACTGTATTTATAGAAATATCCAAAGATTTTGATCACTTACTATTTTGGGAATTTGTTGCTTAAACGATGAAGAACAGCTTACATAAAACTGGAGACATGACAAAAGCTGTTGGTAAAATTAAGCAAAGCTGAGAAAAATGTCATAATGAAAGCTTAAAGAACTCACTTATAAAGGAGCCAGAAAGAAGTGCTCATTTTATGATGAACACAACTTCATAACATAACAACTCCTAAATATCTGCAAAAGCAAATCGTAATACACTATACTCTAAAAAGTTTATTAACTAAGTGATTTGTTAGCTGCTTGTCAAATGTGCATGAAGCAATTTAAAAAAAAATCTATTAGAAAAATGTGCTAATAAGGAGCAAAATACAGCATACCTACTATATCGTAAATCAGATTGCATTGCTTTTCCAAAAGTTATTTTTCTAGGTATTAACATGTCACCTTAGAGACATTAAATTTTTTTAAAATCAAATTTTATAATCATACTGTACTTCACCATAAAATGCATTTCCATGGTGTGATCTACGAAAGGAGAACACCCACGTCTCCCACAAAAAGAGCAGGCTGCCTGAATACCCTGCGAGACAACAGGGAGAACACAGGAGAGGCAAACTTGTTTTTTTAGTGTTTCAGCACAAGTCCCCCCCCTCCCATCACTTCTACAAACAGACACCAGCACGAGATGAATCTTTAACCAGACCTACCAGCGCTCACTCACACTCCGTCTGTCTCTCTGCGATACAAAACAAGGGAAGATAATGTATCTGCAACATCCTGTGCACCCACAGATCCCAGCTGCCCCAGGCTCTCTCTGACAGAATCTGCCATTCCAGCAAGAAAAAGAGCAGGCGATTCTGGCCAAGCAGAAATGCTTGCAGTCTCAATCCCGTCCAGGTGGACTTCAGCAGGTGGGGCGGAGCAGCCAGGTGGGACTGACAGACACCAAGCTTTATTCCAGCGATTTGTTATTGTCAGAACTTACATGAGCACTGTGAAATTAAACGGCTTTCTGCTTCACAACATAAAAATAACCCAATGACAGATTACCAATGTACTCTGATGTACTGAACTGAAGATAAAGAAACTGGGAAATATGACCAAATATTCTGGGAAACTGGGTCATATGACCCCATACACATTGAATAAGTACTATGCACACCCCTGGGCCCCAGACCTATATCTTAGTCACATGAAGTGCGATTGCAAAGTGATGTTTCTGCTTTTTCACTAAATCAGAATAAGGATACATTTCTTCAAAGTAGTCAATGTGTGGAGGCTGCAGAATGTCAAGAGCAGAGAGGACCTGGGGAAATAAGACAGTGTTCAGTTCAGCGCAGGCAGAATGGTAACACACAGACAATGACAGCAATATCAACACCATCTATCAAGAGCAGAAAACAGTACAGAAATTAAGATATCATCTGAACTGAATTTGGTGATTGAATGGCAGCAATTTCTTATCAGTTCTGTGTCTTGCACATGTCTCCACAAAACACACACTGCCTCTGCAGGGCTGGTTATTCCAGGCTGGCCAAAGCACGGACTGGCCCTAGCGCCACCTGTTTTGCACTGCTTTGGACCAATTGCAGCAGGACTGCAATCTTCTTCCATTCTGACCCTCCGCAAATCTGCTAACCTTCCTTGTAGCTCATTACTCACATCGAAACCTGAGAAATGCATGGCAAGCATTAAAAGCTCATCAGCACGTAGCGTTATGTCTAAGATTTATGTTCTTGAGGAGCTGCACAGTTAAAAAGGTTTCTCGTCTTTTTTTTTTAAGTGAGCCTAGAACACAAGGCGATGGGAAGAGAGCGAGCGGCTCAGCAAGATAAGATTGATTACACGCTCCAATCCCGTTCGACAGTTTAAACCAGCAACCAAGCAACCACTTAAACAGCACGCAGATAAATCTGCCGGTGCATTTCAGGCTGTCAGACACATGTGGAAGGTTTGCAAGAGTTATAACATAAATCTGATGCGCAGTTACATCATTTTTTTCCACACGTGCACCTCTAATTTGGAAGCTTGCACAGTCTGCGGCTTCCACACAGGATGAGACTCCACATCGTGATGTTAAGCACACCTAGGTTAAATGGGCCAGAGGCCATCTCTGCAGCCCTATGGAACTGGTGGGCCTCACCGGGGGGGGAACTGCTTCCTTACAGGGGTGACTGGCTGCTGTGGGGATGTGGGCAATCGGTTCGGAACAGACTACCAATCACAAGCAAGGGCTTATACGCTTGTGAAGCACATAAATGAACTCCCTGGCCACAGAGCAGAGCGGGTTATTCTTTCTTTGCTCAAGCAAACCTATCGGTTGAAGAATCAACCTGTTCACGGGGGACGTCTGAGGCACAGCTCATGAGGAGCCCTCAGGCAGACATCTCCACGTCAGGAACAAGGTCTGGCGAACTTTTTAATCTCGGATACCGCGTGGGAGCTTGAATACGGTTTTAATAAAGTTCTTAACGTTGCTGGGGTACCATATGGGGACATTTAGAAGCTATCAAGAGCTCTAAGCCAGGAGGAAGAAAAGAATAAAAGCAATCTGAGCAAATGAGGCAAGAGAAAATGGTTGTAAGGTGAAAGGGCCGTCCGAGTCAATACTGATGGAATTACTCTGGGGGGGTGGGAACTCCCTTTACAAACAGGAGGGGCAATAGCAGACCTTCATACCTCTCCAAACCGAACAAGCAATTAAACAAGCAGCTTTGGCATTTTTACTGAGACTCCATAACAAGAGACTCATCTGCACGTTTTATATGGCGATCTCAACCAGCAGAAACTCGGCGCTGAATATCCGATTCCCGCCTCACTGGACCCCAGCGCTGCAGAGTGGGCGTTCGTCACGGGCAGGGTGTTAGCAGAGGCCGGCCGGATTCACTCACGTTGTCGTGCTTGAAAAAACAGAGCATCTTCAGCTCACGGAAGACCCTCTTGCAGGAGACGAGGTTCTGGAAGACATTGGGCATCTTTTTAAGGGCAACCCGCTTTCCATCTCTGGGGTCTGTAACTGACCTGCAGGGGGTGGGGACAAAAAAGAGCAGCGCTTATAAGAGGATAAAGCAGATCGATACAAAAAAAAAATCTCCTTCTCAGCCCTCTCTGAAGACATAAGATAAAGTAAGGGGCTAGAGGAGAAGAACCTGATGAGGAAAGTCCTAATTCTTTATTTTCCCCACCTTGAGACAAGCTGGCTGGTAAGGACTTAATGAAATGTAAGCAGTGGGAGAAACCAACAGGCCCTTGAGAGAAGGAAAACAAGTGGAGAGCTTGGGTTTTTTTTAAGGGGGTTGAGGGGTTACCGAAGACCCTATATTAAACCCAGGACCAAATTTCATTTTAAAAGGACCCCCGAGATCAGCGATGAACACTGAACTATAAAACGTACTACGGCCACTCAGACACAGATAAAAAAGTAACGAGGGGGGAGGGGTAGGCTGAAACAGCACTTGTCCTAGTTTTGTGCCGGTCAATGTACTGCAGATCACCAGAAACTGCAGGGTCAGAGCCATCAGTAAGATACAAGTATAAAAGCCTCCTGTGTCTGCCTACCACACCAAACAGTCAAAAGCGATCAAGACGGTCAGCACAGGGCAGTCCAGGAAACCATTAAGCCCTGGTGCTGGAAAGAGGAAACGCGGGCAACAGATTTGTTGAATAGATAAGGCTGCCATTGATTTTTAGCTTCAGCACTAATACAGACCCGGTTTACGAGCTTTAACCTCTTTCCTGCTTGTGACAGCACCTCAAACAGATCTGCAGAGGAAAGGGCCCAGACTGTCTATCACATGAGCAGCATTTGATTCACAAGGTGGATTAAAACTTGTGACAACTCACAAACGCACACTGGCAAACCACAAGCATGGATCCACACAGAATAAGCACTTGCTTAGAGGCCTCTGAAGGGGAACTGGTATCCTCCACCCACTCCAGAGCTCTCTCTCGTTACCTGAAGCAGCTGAGGCACCAGTACATCTATCTTCTGAACACCTTTTAAAGGCAGTGGCAGCATCCGCTAGAATGTAAACCCTGTCTAATGCTGCGATCTGTCAGATGGAGAACTGATGGGCAACACCTCTACGACACAAGCAACAGCAGCAGGTAACCAGGGAACTCCTTGCTCTGAAGTCTGGGCTGCCTGCATTCACACACGGGCGCTAACTGTCCAGAACATAGTTGAGTGCCATACGAACTTTTCACAGCGCTAATTTCAAAGTCCCTGGAGGAGAGAGGCTCCGAAGATCCCGCCTGTAACGATTACTTAGAGGAAACCCTGCAGGCGTGACGGAGATAAGGACGAGCAGAGAACCGTGGCCAGCCCGGTCTCCAAATGAAAAGGACAGTTCGGGCCGTGATGTCCCTTAATCAGCAGCCATTTTTTACAGATGTGAAACCAATTAAAATATGAATCTTATCTGACCGGCTGGTTTAAAAATAATCAAATAAATTAGCACCTTACTCCATCAGAAGAAAAAGCCTCAGAGCCTATTTAGCCTCAGAGGAGGACGGAGGAAGGGCGGAAAGGAAAAAGAGTCAATTATCGCAGATTGGAGAGCAAGCCTATCAGCGCCCAGTGGATTTTTTTTTTTTTATTTCCTTTTTCCCCCTAGTCTGTTAATAAGGTAACTTAAAGCATTTAATTAAGTGTGTGGGTTCATGAGTCTGCTGATCATATAATCCAGAGCTTGGTATTGCAGGCACCGGCTGAGTGGGTGGGGGTCGCTGGAAGCACTGCTGCGATTTTCCGCTTCCTTGGACAGCATTAACTCGGATCAGGGTGCGAAGCAGCGGTGCAGCAGCTACCCTCTTGCTGGGAAGCGGCTTGCCGTTAACACTGTGCCAAGTAGATGTCGGACCAGGGCGCACACAGAAAGCTCAAGGCAGTCGGCAGCACGGCCCACAGCCCACGTGAAGTTCAGTGCAGTGAGCTGGCAGGCTAACTCCCCTTCAGGACCTGGCTGTTCCCCTGCCTCCTATTTACACAGGCTTTTTAAAAAATGCTCATCACTCAGGATAGCCGCTCAAGTGTACCAAAACGAGCATGCTAACACAATAAAACCACAGTATAAAACACCGATGTATTAAGAGCTGGGCTTATCCATTTATAAAGTGCAATTTTCCGATGTCTAAATGCAGAGCTAAGACTAAAGCTTCTCTGCAATCATTAAACAGAGAAATGACAATACATGTTCCCTCCTTTAATGCTCAACTGCGTGTTCTGGAATTTCCAGCTTCACTGCTGTATCTGAACAGCTCCTCTACAAAAGCAGCCAGACAGAGCTGGAAAGACCATAAAGCTATTACTCCCCACTCCGATTTAAAAAAGGGGGAAAAAAAGTTTTTTCTGCCACAAATGCTGTAATTTAATTCCAGATGCCTGTTATCCAATTGACATAATTCTAGAATGTCAAGGTATATTAAAACCAGAGAGCAATTTATACACATTGGTCTGTGTTAATGAGAAACTCAAGCGCTCAGAAAGTGACTTTCCTTTTTTGTTTTCAGCATGTGAAGCACTCCAGGGATGTAAAGAAAGCTTGTTTAGTCAGCAGGTTTAGTTATTTAACCACTCCAGGGTAATTTGTCCTCCCCATTTGATACATTTTTAAAGTGCTGGGAAAAACAAGAGAAGTCAAAAAAGAAAAGGCAGCTCTCCTTTGTTTATTATTAATAGAGAATCTTCAGCTGCAACTCTAATGAATGGGACTGGTGGTGCAGCAATTTCACGCAGCACTGAGCTCTTTTTCCCTGAACTCTGTGGAGCAGCTGCTATATATCTGCTCCAACACTGCCAGCATGCAATACCAAACGAACACAGAAATGCTTTTATTGTCTTTGCACTCGAGGTGCAGAAGTTTGTAAATTGCAATGACCTGTAACTTAAACCATCAGGTTGCTCAGACTACAGAACTGGAGGAGTCCTGAACAGCACTTATCTCAACCTCAAATACAGAGCCACCCCATCCTGAAAGCTGCATTCTGCAGGCCCAACTCTTCCCAGCATTCATCATCTGTCCAGAACTAGAATCATGCCTATTTTTTCCATCTTCTCAATACAATGTGTGATAGCGTGCCATAAAACCGTTCCTGCATACAAAGTAACACCTGTATGGACAACGTTTCTGCTGTGCTGATATACTTTGAGCAGGCAAACTTTAATTGTTCGCCAACTGTGTTCATTTAATCATGTATGACAATAAAAGGCAATTGAGGAAAAAAGACCAATTAGGACAATTATGATTTTTTAACAGCCTGACCACCCCCCAATTTCCCCAAAATGCACGTTCTGCTCATCACAAGCATCATTCTGAAAAAGATATTTGCATAAATGCTAAAATGCACACAGCTGGCCCAGGACTAATGACAATTTGCATCGAGTAGGTTTTACATGATATACAGAAATTCACCTTAAATATTAACCCCGAGGAGTTTTTTTAAACAAAATATACCTCGAGGAGTAGATTCCAGGAGTACTGCTGATGCTATGAAATTTAAAGCTAGAATTACTCCTTCAACAGCTTCTGGGAACAGAATCAAAACAGAGATTTTTACAGCTATTAAACTGGTTAAAAATCAATGCCCGTGTTCATAGAAAGTTTCATTTCTCAACCTGCCTAAACTCCCAAGTTGAACAGCTGCAATGCTGCAGGAACAAAGCAGTGTGGAGTCTGGAGTCCACTGACCCCAGTTCTCACAACCTGGAAGAAGACCGCCTTACAAAAAACCCGCCTTTCATTACTGTATTTAAATAACGTCATTTATATGCTACCTAGTAAAGCTTTCCAAAAAATTATCCACCCATATTCTCATTTTTTGAATTAGTACTATCGGTAATCCATGTCCCCCTAAACACAGCCGATCCAGGATGTGTACACAGTATACTCTCTTCTGCACAACAGACTAGTTCAGTGGTGACAAAGGTCTGGTGATCACTATTCCCACAGAAATCCAATGACTACTTCTGTTCTACACTTCTGCTAAACAAATGCATGCCAATTTTTGGTAATAGAAAAACTGTCAGTGCAAATCGGCAGCTACCCCTGGATCACACTGCGAGAGAAGAAATTAATTTGCCATTTAGAATTATGAAAGAAGAGGGGACAGTCATTTGCCACTTTCACAAAGCATTTTTAAAATGCAGTGTGCCAAGGGAGTCCCACTGAACAGGAACACGAGCTTCACAGCAGGAACGTCTTTTAAATCAACTCTGTCTAAAGCACCTATTAGCAGATTTTTGGATGCAAATTGTTTCAGATGTAACAATGCGCGGTGCTCTGCATCCGCTACAGGCAGGAGCAGTGTGGTTATTGCTTCAAGATTTCAATTACAGAGCTACAGTCATTCCTGACAATCACCAATTACTGTAACAGAACACTTTAATAAGCCACAGTGCTACACTGCAACACCTGATGGGTTGCTATGTAACCAGCCATTTGGCTGTTTAGTATTTATTCCTAATTAGGGCTCAAGTAAATACACAGAACCAGGTCAAAGGGTAGAAAAATTCAGTAGCACATTATGACTAAGCATTTAAAAAAAACCCTTACTACACATAGTATCCAAGAGACGACCATTTTTCAGACACAATCAAAACCTGCTGTAATTAACCCTCCACTGTTCCCATTACAAATTAGCTTCACATACAAAGACTTGATAAAAGATGTATCATTAAATGTACCGAACTGATTCTAAGTCACATCTAGAATTCCTAAAAAAAAAAAAACTGGGTCTGTCTCTTCTTTCAAGGCTAGTATAGTTCATTCAGTACAAAATACAAACGCAGTGATTTTTTTTAAATGGGAACAAAGTGCCCTTTATTATACAAATACATGTTATGCCCATATTCCCAGATATAGCAAATTCACAATAGGAACAATCGAGCTACTAAGCTTCAACCAAAAATGCTAATTTACAGTGACAGCATGTAAAACTAATCAGGATGTTTTTAATATTAAATTAATTGTAATTAAAGATTTTAAAACAAAAGCACCAAAGTGCAGAATTCCTATAGCAGG